TTACAACAATAGAAACATAGTCTGGCACCGATCTTCATTTTATCTGGGGGATTTTCCATTACATAAAGATAGACCTCCCGTCCGAGTCCAGAATATTTACCCGAGACCATCAAAATCCGGGGGACGAGCATCGCCCCCGGCGAATACCGATAGCAGCTGAACGGCGGAACGGAGCTCCGTAAGCGCTAAACCGCCCAATGTCCCAATGCATGAGGGCGGAATAGCAGGAGGCGACCGAGGAGAGGGGGTTTTTTTTCCGGCGCGGATTGCCTTCTAGCTTCTGTAACTCTGCTCTCGGTAGCAGTTGGAGAAAACGCAGATTTAGTGTTTTGTGGGGTAAATTTTAACACGTGCGCTTGGGTGGTGATGGGTTGGTATGATGATAGGCGGTTCCTGCCGAGGTATTTGGTAATGAATTGACGCGTGTGGGTTTCTTTTTTTTTTTTTTTCCCTGTATACGAAGTACTACCTTACCATAAGTTTTTAGAGAGGTGAGACGAGATGTTCAGCAAGGTGCTGGGCTGGTGGAGGGTCTGTGGGTGTGTGGTGTGATGGGTATTCTCGGATGTTACTCTTTAGGTTTGGAGTCTTATGAAAGGAGTGGGTTTGTTGAAGTATCCACTATCGTATAGCATTCTGTAGTGATTAAAAAGCGTATGACAGAAACATAACCAACATCGGGTCAATTCAAAATAAATGGTGTCATCGTATATTGGACGGCGACATTAGATGTCTTCGGAAGTCTTCGTATCATGCTTGCATCTCTTCCTGGGTCTTAGGGGGATAGAACCTGCTCTCGTTAGCTTGCATCTTTCGGTTGTGAGGGTGGGTACCTACCATGCTGCCACGGCAATGATCAAATACATCATCATTAGGAGGACGCCCTCTAGCCAATGGGATTTCCCGTCGGCAATGAGATAGTTTACCTGGCTCTGTTCAGTAAAGTTCTATTGATTAGGAAGGCTGTTGACGTACCAACAGAACGGCAACAAATAGCAGAATCACCTGGAATGCGTCCATGTACAAAGTCTGCTACAGTCAGTCACGGGCTATTATTACTAGAATGCGTCGAAGTAGCGTACCATGTCATTGTTGCCTAGCGCACGCAGTTAGCAACGTACAGTTTCATAAAACACAATTGAGATTCACTCACCCATGCCCCATCCAATCACAATGATCAGCGGAAGCACCAGCAATGCGATTTGCATGCTGGATCCTACGGCCACGCCAATTGCCAAGTCCATCTTGTCTTTGCATGCCACCGTCACGGCCGTGGCATGTTCGGCCGCGTTGCCCACAATCGGAAGGAGAATCAATCCAACAAAGGTCTTGGAGATACCGCCACGGTCCGTAATCGCATTAATAGAATCAACCTACGCAATCAGCTTGGTGTGACTGATGGATTCCAAGATTGTATCATACCATGTACTCAGCGCACAACGCAACTAGGGCTGTCGAGATGGCCAAGGTTAGCACAGCCACCCAGATGCTTAGTTGAGGCTCTTCCTCCTCCTCGCCGGGATCTTGCAGCTGCATTTGCTGTGCGTTCTGTCCCGCTAGGGTGGCAGTCATTTTGCCTATCTGTGCGATTCCCCGATGTGTGTCGCCCTCGCTCACTTTCACACGTCTCTTCTCAACTTTGGGACTCGGACTGTTGTACATCTCCGTGTGCGAACCCAACTGGAAGAACAGATAACATCCGTACACAACCAGCATAATAATACTGGTTCCTACGATTTGTGAGAAAATGATCTATGAGCTGCCCACGAACGCAACTTACCTCGTGAGAGTTCTGCAACACCACTGTTGCCAGCTGGAATCGAGTTAGCATTTAACATCCCGCAGGACTGCTCATTAACTTACCGCCTGACCAATTGTGGAAGGCAGTGGGAATAATCAAGCATCCCACTGCCAGCGCAAGAAGACTGGCTGCTGTTTGGGCAACGACCGGGTTGAAATGCTGCTCCAGGCGGTTGACGCCTCCAAAAAAGAAACACATTCCCATAACAAGGAGCAGGTTCGACAGCATACTTCCGATAAGGGAAGTTTGTACAATCACGACTTCACCGTCGACCAGCGCAATAATAGCTACAATTAGTTCGACGGCATTGCTAATGTTTTGTTAGTTGAAGTGATACGTAGAAGTAGCAGAAATTCTGGGGTTGGCTTACCCAAAACTTGCGTTGAGTAGGCCACCGATTGTTTCGCCAGTGCTAGAGCCATCAGCTATCGTCTACTTCAAATAATCCGTATATCATACCGCATGGCAATCTCTTCTGTCGCGTAACCCAGCATAGCTGCAAGAGGGCTGCCGTGTGTCAGTTACGTAACGTGAAGTCCGTTTCGAGACAGAGGGATACACACATAATGGCAATAAAGTTCACCACGAACACAGCAACTGGATCGACATCGACATAATTCAATGCGACTCGGCCATAGTCAGCGATGGATCTTGGTTGGCGGAGATATGTATACTTACTTCCAGCTGGAGCAGCAAGCAGGAGGACGTTGACCCAGGAATTGAAGAGAGTCGCTTTCAACTGTCCCATGGCGGTAAACTTCGACTTCCCGTTGACACCTTTGGTCGAGTTTGAATCCATGTCCTCATCTAAAGATTTGTCTCCAAATCCACTCGCAAAAGTCCTCCTCTTTCGAGGTCCTCCCATCTGATCTTCGTCCAGTCCGGTTTGGGCTGAAATGTTAATGGGTTCATTGCTGTGCACTGACAGCTCACGTCCCGCCTTATCGGGAGTAACCTGATCGGTCCCAGACGACTCTGGTGGGAAACTATCCGAATGCTCTGGGCCCACCAAGCCGTCTGTCATATCCTTCCGCCGGCGACGCTCCGAGTCGAGGCGTACATCCCCTGCAGTGCGGATGGGAGTAAGTTTGCTCTCAAGCTGGATAGAATCCGTTCGGCGCGGCCGTTGGCGTCGAAATTTCTTGAAGGGGTTGTGAGTTGACGGCTCTCCATCCTGGTCATACCATGCCAGGTTCCTCGCTTGACGTCGATATTTATCTGCAGTCCCAAGCAATGTTAATCATGATCAGGAATCTGGAATAAGGGCGTGACAAGACATACGCATTGTTCCTATGAGTTTCTTGCCCGTTTATTATCGTGGCAAGACGTGTTGATACTTATATACTACATCAAGATTAGAATGATAATTCGCGAGTATACTAAATATAGGCTGTCGAGCCACGAGAGAGTTTGGTGACGAGAGGCGCCGTGTTGGGGCACAGTTGCACAACCGCCGCAGCCAGGGAACCATCAATGCTGAGCATTGATAGGCAGCAGTATGAGAAAATGTACTAACGTGATGTTCGCCTGAGCGACGATATTATACAGAGGGGCCTGGTGTGGCTTGAGTGATGGGTCTGAAGAAGCTCAGCCTCAGTTGTGGCCACCAAGAAATCCAAGACCAGGACAAGAAGTCTTGGGTACGACAAGCCTTCTCGGCAGAACAGCGATTGTGGATTTGGTCTTGTGGATGGAAAAAAGAGCGAATCGACCGGTTCTAAAGGCAGGCGAGGGGCAATAAAAAAAAATTAAAAAGAAATAAAGCGACTCAATTAAAATGACTGGACTCTAATCAAGGGGGGTTCTCTTTCAGAGCTCCTACAGCAGTAGTGTCAAAGAATGTCAACGAAAGCAAAACAACACAAAAAAAAGGGTTGAAGAAAAAAAAAAAGTAAAGTAAAATTAAGACAGAGAGCCAAGACGACAAGAAAAAAAAAATAAGAAAAAGAAAATTAAAGGGAATTTCCCATATGGAGAGAAAAAACTATGATTGAAGGCCGACGTATGTTGTCCCAGAGTCCCAGACAAGCAATAACTCATTTGTACACAGCCACAATGGGGGTGCGCATTTTCGGTAGTCATGGTAGATCCTCCTCAAACCTGGCGCGTGTCCTGCACTCTTTGGTGGGAATTCTGGGGCTTTCGTGCCAATGATTGGGCAGACGTGCTCTCTGAACAGCGGTCTGAGCATATCATTCGTTTTCCAACCTTAAAAGCCATCAATTATTCTGGCAGCTGGTGTGATACCTCGCAAGGGATGATGCAGACAGACACGGCGGAGGACGCCAAGTGTGGTGGTTGCATCCATACCAAGTCGAACTAGTATAAGACTTGGTTAGTGGCCGCGCGATCCAGAACCCAACTTATTTGAATCACAAAGTTTTGTGTGCTGGAATCATCAATCTTGAAACCTGAGAACTCTATGACCTCAGGCCTCACCGAAGTGCATTTGTCACAACCAAACAAATGCCAGTGTAAAAAGAGATTGAAGGATCTCCATACCTGGACAATACATTGGGGAAATTGGATCATGCTGGTGGGTACATACAGGTTAGTTTATCCAGGATCAAACCCCTGACCCATTTTGGTGCATTTACTGGGCACGGAAGCTTATCCTTCCTGCTGCGACTGACAGAGTCTTTGCTCGGGATTGGCCAATGTGTGTGGCTGGTGACGTTCTTTGCTGTGCCACATATCAGCCACAGTTGGGTCCCAACCATTGACGCGGGTATTTTCTTAGCTCCTGAGGGGCCAGTCGCAGCATTGATGATAGGACGTGGCTCTTGCTGTATCCGATGAAAAAAATGATGAAACTTTCCTCTGCCCTTAAGAAAGCGAGCTCTCCTCCTTGTACAAGGCGCTTGAGTTCAATGTTGGTCATATGTTGATCAGATAAAATATTTCAGATACATAGTTTTATATGTTAAGCACTTGAACGAACATATTCGCAATCTCCTACTCTGGCTTCTTTCCACTACCGTCCACTGGAGGTAACCGGGCTTTGGATAACTCTTATTAGCGACTTACATGCTTAGAAGGGATGAATTTATGGCATACTCAACAACTTCAATAGCTGGTTCCGGGGTAGATCTGATCTCTTCCATCACCAACACGAATATGAAATGGCAAATATGCACTACATTATAATTGCCTTCCGTTTCATTCGGAACGTCAGTTTTGATATCTCAGTGGATGAGATTCATGTTCGGAGGGAGCCATTCTTGCGGAGGGACGGCTTTGAATGGGATGTCGAAACGGTCCAGTTGCACTGATGGCGGAAGGTAGCGGCTAAGTCCGTAAGGATGACACTAAAGGAATACAGTTAGTCTTGAAGATGGCAAAGTGAGTCAAAACAAACCACGTGGCGATTCCAACATCCGTGATCTTGAGATTGGGGTCCTGTAACGGGATCGACGGGTGTAGAAGGTACCCGTAAAGTTCAAGCCAGAAGTAATGATGAAGATTAATCCTGTTCATTTCTGCAGTACTTAGTATAGGTCACTAAAGTTGTAGCTTCCCGTTCATCCACTGACCGGTTATTATCGATATAATCGCGCGCCATACTATATTCCGGTGCCGACATAGTGTCGAATATTGATAGACTGAAAAGTATAGCAGTCTTGTTTCTTTCGTTGACCTTCTCGAAGCAATCCCATGGCAATCATATGTACTGATATGTGAGCATTTGGACGCCACCGGAATGACGTTCATATATCCTTTCATAAGTTCAGCCCTGGATCAAGCCAATGTTAGTAGTAGCAGCTCCGAATATGCGCTATCGTGATCATGGAACTTTTTTCTTCCATCACAACTTAGGTTAAAACATACAACTATATATTTCGTAGGCAATGTAGGTAGGTTAAATTCTCCTAGTCGACACTAGTTCAGCCGCCAAATGATCATGTTTGTCGCCAAATTCTCGGGATGCGGCAAGTGACGTGGAGGCATAACTCAAGTCAAATGCATATTTGGGCCCCCGGAGTATGAGTCAATTAGTTGCAACGCCGTCTCAATGTACTGCGAACCATCCGGTATGTCTGTCCAGCAATCAGCAAGCTACGCTACCACCGATAAATTCTTCCCTGGTTCTCATGCAAGAAACTGGGTTCTGGAGAGAGGATACACACTGATGTGATTATCGGGGCAAATGGTATAGTATACCTGGCCGTGGTAGATTATTGTACGGTTTGGAGAGGAAGTTCTACGGTGCCGTCAGGATCCTGTAGAAACGGGTGACATGGCCGACCGAGCTACCATTCCCCAAGAGCAAGTAGAAGAAAGCACTGGGCAGCAGTTTTATATCCGGTTAGAAGCAAACCTATAGTTTGGTTCTACTGTATGTACTATTATGATCTCTCTTCAGGCGACAAAACCAATCGCTGACTCTTTCGTTACCCTTATACATTACCTGCCGATATATCCAGTGGTAAAGGGAATAGCCAGGAGATACGAAACGTATTCAAAGGGTAGGATTCATAGTAGGAGTTCCGAGCTAACCACCTTGTATTCTCACAATATTCCGGGATCTCAAGCTAAACAAGAGGCCAACTCAAAGTTAGACAGCGTCCTCAAATGGAAGTTCCGCCACTTTCAAGAACCAGACACTTGGTGCAAGGTACGTGAGAAATCAAAACGATCACTTGCGAGTCCGTAAGGGAGAACTAAGCAAAATCACAGGAATCAATCACCCTCCTTGGAGATGCATGCCACCCGCCTCTCCCCTACCAGGCCCAAGGCGCAGCAACATTCTAGACCTCCTTGGTCTTTACGAGCTCTTGCGAAAGAAAGGAACCACTATTGATATCCAGGATGCGATGGCGAATCGCGCGCTTCTTAACATGGCAGATGGCCCTGAGGCTGGTGCCCAGAATTCATGAAGCATTTGTGAGGCATGGTTGGGATGACGACGATATTGATTTTCCTTATAATTTTGGTAATATGGAGTATCAGATGCAACTTATGGCATTTGACACGACGATGAAGACGGGGCGTTTTGAAGAATGGCTGGACAAAGTGAGACGATTCCGCACCTTCATCCACGAAAATATACGAATCATCACGAAAGTGAGAAATACAATGGTTCAATAGGAGCTATGCCCATCGAAAAAACAATATTTAATCTCGGCCTGAAAATAGAAGAGATCCAGTAAGAAATACGAATATAGAAAACGGTATGGTAAACAAGTAGCAAAAGATATAAAATGTAGCTTACGTTCGCGATATACTATTTCGTACTCGGTATATATTTACAATATTATACTTTTTCTACATAGTAATCATATGATTATAATCTAACCCTTGAGGCACTTACAATATCTGTTGGTAATATGTATATCTCATGTGCATATTTGTCCTGCATATGCTGTACTCCGTGGCAAGGTATACGAAAACAGAAGAATTGGTAGGGCTGTCGGTTTCATGATGGCCTTTGCCGTCCATATATTGTGATGATATTTTAAAAACTATGCCTTTTTCTATGTAGGGAGGAGATTAGTAATGTTTTAGACAACGGTTTTGCATCTGAATGACGGCAGAATAGAGAAGATATCAGGATGTCAAAGAGAAGGTCCACCTCCTTGCTGAGAGGACAAAGGTATGATTCTTGACGTCACTCCAGTACTGGGCGGATTCTGTCCTTCAGAGTCCCGTTATGCACCGTAAATCGTGCATGCACAAGAAGTTATGGAGGGTTATGTCCTTCTATGCCCTTCTTTTAAAATTTTAATTGTTTTATTCCCAACCTCCCCCCCTTTCGTTCAGGCTACTGATTTTCCATGTACATAGCTGTACCTGTAGATTCATGGGGTCAGATTCGGACACACCTTGAGGTTCCTTGAAAATAAATGCGGACACATAATCTTTCACACTAATTACATTTAAAGGACAGGCCCTCATTTACATCAGACAAAGCAAGTCTAAAATCTTTACTCCGTCCTAAGGATGCAATTCATTATTTGGCACTGTTAGTCTTTCTTATCTAATTCTTGAGGGCAGTGAAAAATTTTCCCGCCACCAGTGTTTCACTCAGCTTCAATGGGTGGACCCCATTCAGGGTCATGACCCTCGACATTGGAGAGTGAGACCCTGCCATGGACCCCTCAAAGTGTCCAATGGTGTGTTCCTGGTAATCACAATGTATTGTTGGTGTTATCCGTGTTACCAACCTAATTAGGTATTGTACGGAGTACCCGAACCTTCCTTTACCCCTGCGACGGGAGAGTCAGATACTAGTAGGTTACCTCTTCGAAAGGGAGTCAACGCATTGACTTGATATAGAATTTTGACTACTTCATCAGTGTCTTGTGTTACACCAAACAATCATCGTCGGGCTTGAGTAAAGTCATGAAGCATCATCCTTAGGAGACTGCAAAAAGAGGCCAAGGGGCCTCGGCCCCACCGGTCAAGAATCACAAGCAATTATTGGCAGGGAACAAGACACAGAGCCAAGGTCGGGACCGAATGTAATACAGCGTAAGATTGGTGATACAGGGCCCAGGGGACCACCGTGGCCAATTAAGGGTCAGTCTCCAGCGGCTAGTTTCAGGGCCCACTTGCACTAGTTGGGCTTACCCTGGAGTTATTTGGAAAGGGTCTAGTCATTGGGCAAAGTAAAAGTATGTACCGAATCCCCAGTGCCCCGAGTCCTCCGTTGGCGTTTATTCTTAGGAATTAGAGGCATGCATGAGCGCAGTGGATGGATTACTACGTACTACAGATTTGTTCCCTTTGATCCACTGGCCTTCGTGCTTTGCGCATAGGAGTATGAAGAAGATGATGTAGTGGGATGATGACATGAGAGGGACACCAGTTGTTAGCGGTGGGTTATTGCTCAATATTTTGATGCTGATCATTATAATTACGTCGTTGCCTGTGTATTACCACAAACAATGAACCAAACAGGCCAAACAGGGCGATTGATTCTATTCTAAGTAAGACAGGCCAGACAGACTAACCTCAGGCTCCTCTCGGCTCCTCCCCCCCCCTTTCCCACTCTCCTGTCCATTCTTCCTTTCTCGCCTCCTCGCCTCCTGCTATTTCTTGTTTCTTTATTCTTCCCTATCACTTCCTTCCCTCGTTACATACCACTTTTGATTCTTTTTTTAATTTCCCGCAATTCCATTCCACGGCTCCGTGTGTCAGCCGTCAGTCACTCGTTGTAGTATATATACTCTTCTAAACTTTCTCAATCCACTCCCCGATTCTTTTTCCATTAATTCGGCCTGATATCACTGGGTCCGCAGATCAAGTTGATCAATCCCTCGTTGTCTTCCGCTGCAGATCATTAGCTGTCGTCGTTGCGGCTGGTATACGTTTGAACGACTGTCAATAGAATCTCATCATGAAGGCCGCATTCGCTCTTGCCGGGGCTTCGCTCGTGGGCAGCGTCCTGGCGACCTTGCCTGCCATTGAGACGAAGGTACTTATTAAGTGTTGCGGTCGTCGCGGTCACATTCATCGCTGACTTGGGAAATTCTGCTGCAGGGTAACAAATTCTTCTACTCCAACAATGGCACTGAATTGTAAGTGGAAACCCCAATGCGCTCAAAGGATCCATGAGGTAGTGAAACTAACATGATATTAGCTTCATTCGTGGTGTTGCCTATCAGCGTATGTTCCATATCGGAAAATCCTGGGTCAAGTCAATCGGACCGGAAACTAATGTTGATTCATAGAGGAATATTCTGCCAATGGCACCAGCAGCTCCAGCACAGGCTTCGGCAACGAATCCAACGGCGACTACACCGACCCTCTGTCCGACCCCAAGAAGTGCGAGCGTGATATCCCTTACCTGAAGGAACTGCGGACCAACGTCATCCGTACCTATGCCGTTGACCCCAAGGCCGACCACACTGAGTGCATGAAGATGCTTGACGACGCTGGTATCTACCTTATCACCGATCTGTCCTCCCCATCGGAGTCGATCATCCGTAATGACCCCAAGTGGGATGTGGACTTGTACTCTCGCTACACTAGCGTTGTCGATGCCTTCGCCAACTACACCAATGTTATTGGTTTCTTTGCCGGTAACGAGGTCGCTAACGACAAGAACAACACCGACTCTATCGCGTTCGTCAAGGCTGCTGTGCGTGACATGAAGAAGTACATCAAGGCTAAGAAGTACCGTGAATCCCTGCTCATCGGTTACGCCACCGATGATGACGCTAGCATCCGTGATGACCTGAAGAACTACCTTGTCTGCGGTGATAGCGATGCCATGATCGACATGTTCGGTTACAACATCTACGAATGGTGCGGCGATTCTTCTTTCGAGAAGTCTGGTTACAAGGAGCGCACTGAGGAATTCAAGGATTTCCCTGTCCCTGCATTCTTCTCTGAGTATGGATGCAACAACCCTAAGCCTCGCAAATTCACCGACACCCCTGTCCTGTACGGCCCCAAGATGAACGACGTCTGGAGCGGTGGTATCGTCTACATGTACTTCCAGGAGGCCAACGACTATGGATTGGTGAAGGTCGATGGTGACAAAGTCGAAACTCGCGATGACTTCTCTAACCTCTCTGAGCAAATCCAGAAGGCCACTGCCACTGGCGTCAACAGCGCCAGCTACACTGCCCCAGCTGCTGCTACGGCATCCTGCCCCGCGGTTGGCAAGGACTGGGAAGCTACCAGCGAGCTCCCTCCTTCTCCTAACCCGGATCTGTGCTCCTGCATGGTTGAGTCTTTGTCTTGCGTCGTTAAGGATTCCATCAAGGAAGACGACTACGAGGACCTGTTCAACTACATCTGCGCCAAGGATGGAATGTGCGGTGGAATCCAGAAGGACGGCACCAAGGGCAAGTACGGAGCGTACAGTGTGTGCTCTCCCAAGCAGCAGCTCTCGTTCGTCATGAACCAGTGGTACGAGAAGAGCTCCAACAAAGACCAAGCATGTGACTTCAATGGTTCAGGCCGTGTCCAGAGCGCCTCCAAGAGCGATGGCCAGTGCTCCGACCTGCTGAAGCAGGCCGGTACCGCTGGTACTGGCAGTGTCACCGCTTCTCCTACTGCCGGAAGTGCTACCGCTGGCAGCACCTCTTCCACCTCCACTTCTGACAGCGCTGCTGGTGCCGTGAGCCCAATGGCCGTCAAGGTTGGCGGCTGGCAGTTCGGGGCTTACATCATGACTGCCTTTGTTGCCGGTGCTGGAATGCTCCTGTTGTAAAGTAGTAAGGTGTATGGGACCCAAGAATGCTAGGAGACCAGTGAAATGTGACCGGAGGTGTTTTTTGTTCGTTGAAGTGTATTCATCCATGTGATTTTTGGAATCTTAAGACGTACATACTTTAGCCAATAGCTCAATCGTTCATTCTTTTGAATATACCTTATCATGTCCATTGCCTGTTTAATCGTTGTAACTGTATAGCATGTACTCCTTCGTATATAGGTATTGAAGTACCAGTTGTAGATGGTTATGTCGAGCTACGTCTGAGGTCGGCTACCTTTACCGACTCGGTGCTGTACTCCGAACTTCGACAGTAGCGGTGTCCCTTATCTCGGCCACACAAACGGCATGCCGAAACATTGCGGAAAATAATCCGGATCTGCATATATTTATAGCTGTTAGCTGTCCAGTAATTCTGTTCTGTAGTTATTCGGACATTTTTATCCATTCTTATTTTGTTCCGATTTTGTCCTAAGTTTGGATCGTTGTGAGAATTTGCATATCCAGGCCAACGGCTAAGATCGAACCCTAATTCCATGCCCGGCCATGGGTGAACCCGACATTGAATCTCAAACTCCCAAAACTATAGACGGGGCCACGGCAGAAAAGGAAGAGAAAGCTACCAAAGTGGAAAGGGGCTACGGTCTTCCCTTGTGGCGAAAATGTATCATACTCTTCGTCGTTAGTTGGATGACTCTTGCAGTTACCTTCTCGAGCACATCCCTTCTTCCTGCGACCCCCGAGATCGCCGAGGAGTTCAACACCACAACCGAGACCCTCAACATCACTAATGCCGGCGTTTTGTTGGCCATGGGCTTCTCGTCACTTATCTGGGGTCCTTTGAATAATTTAATTGGCAGAAGGATCTCGTATAATAGTGCGATCTTCATGCTCTGTGTATGTTCGGCGGCGACGGGGGCAGCTGTAGACATGAAGATGTTTACGGCATTTCGAGTGTTGAGCGGTTTGACCGGAACATCATTCATGGTTTCAGGACAGACCATCCTGGCGGACATTTTCGAGCCGGTATTTTCTCGCTACCTTTCTTTCTGTCCTTCATAGTCACCTAAGTACTAATAGTAGCTGTCAGGTTGTCCGTGGCACAGCCGTGGGATTCTTTATGGCTGGATCTGTCTCCGGTCCTGCAATTGGGCCCTGTATCGGAGGCCTCATCGTCACTTTCTCCAGCTGGCGCAATATCTACTGGCTCCAAGTCGGCATGACCGGGTTCGGCCTGGTTCTAGCCATCATCTTCGTTCCCGAAATCAAAGAAGAATCCAAAGAGGGCCCCGAAGAAAAAGAGAAGAAGACTGTACTCTCCGCCCTACGCCTCTTCAACCCCCTCCGAATCGTCAGACAATGGGTCTATCCCAATGTCTTTTTCTCCGTACGTTACCAATCCAAACTAAACCAGACCTCATCAACTGCTAACAAATGCCTCCACCCAAAAACAGGACCTCACCTGCGGCCTCCTCGCCACATTCCAATACTCCCTCCTCACATCTGCCCGCTCAATCTTCAACCCCCGCTTCCACCTCACAACAGCCCTCATCTCCGGCCTCTTCTACCTCGCTCCAGGAGCAGGTTTCTTGATCGGCAGCATCATCGGCGGCAAACTCTCCGATCGTACCGTCCGCAAGTACATCGCCCTTCGCGGCTTTCGATTACCCCAGGACCGCCTTAACTCCGGCCTCGTCACCCTGTTCGCCGTCCTGCCCGTTTCGGCGCTGATCTACGGCTGGACCCTCCAGGAGGAGAAGGGCGGCATGGTCGTGCCTATTTTGGCAGCGTTTTTTGCGGGCTGGGGGCTTATGGGCAGTTTTAATACATTGAATACTTATGTTGCTGGTGAGTTTTGCTTTCCTTCCTTCTTTTTCTTACTTTCCATTTGTCTTTTCCGTGTATAAAGGGTGTTGAGAGAGCCTGCTAATCCGTGATATAGAGGCTCTGCCACATAAGCGCTCCGAAGTTATCGCTGGAAAGTATATCATCCAGTATATCTTTTCGGCGGGGAGTAGTGCACTTGTGGTTCCTATTATTAATGCAATTGGCGCTGGGTGGACTTTTACCATTTGTATGTTTTACCCCTTTTTTTTTCCCCCTCTTTCTTCTTCTTCTTTTGTTTTTTTGGCTTCGTGTGGTTAAATGTGTAACTGACTAACTGATTACTTGTGCAGGTGTGATCTTTTCCATCATCGGTGGTCTATTAACAATGACTACCTCGCGATGGGGCCTTGATATGCAACATTGGGCGGAGAGGAAGTTCCGCATTCATGATAAACCTGGGTTCTGATTCGGTTGATCTTATGATTATGGTTATGGTTACGATAGTTGCATTTTGCCTTTTTTTT